ATTTCCCAGTGCCACCCACACCACATTCTCTGGTGACAAAGGTCTAGATGCAAGCTTGGCTTGTACAGTCCGATAAGCCACAGAGACTGGAGCTGTCCACCGATGTCATCAGCCACTGCTTCCTCATTTCTGATGTACACTGAGTGGGGGTATTGGAGCAGCACGAGACAAAACCCCAGGCCAAACCTCAAAGCCATAGCCACTCCTCCACACCCCACAAAAATGGCATGAGGGAAGAAGGCCCCAAACCAACACCACAGGAACCACAGCCCCAAGCTTCCCGGGGTCTCACAACTTCTCCCCTGCCACTAAATCTAACCAAAGACTCTAACCACCGTCCCTCCTCACCATGCTGACACCTCATCTCCTTTCATTCCCACCTCTAAGGTAAGCTAGACCTCTGCTCCACTTCAGTCCTCCAGCCCACTATCCTCTTCCCAACAGTCAATGGTTCGGACCGTCTGCCCTGTCATTGAGTTCCAAGATCCCCTGGGTTTTGCTCTTTTCTGCTGGTTTGCCCTCCAAGCCCCAAGGACCATCTGGTATCCATCTACTCCATATTCAAACCCTCCTATACATGTGTCCCCTAAGACCTCCTTGAGAGTAAGAATTGTCTGTTTTCCTATTTATATTCCCTGCACTTAACAGTGTTTAATGTAATATAATAATAATAATAACTGATATTTATATAGTACTTTAAATGTTACAAAGTGCTTTACACATATGATCTCATTTTAACCTCCAACAACTTTAGGAAGGAGGTGCTATTATTATCACCCCGATTTTAAAGGTGAGGAAACTGAGGCAGACAGATGTTAAGTGACTTAGCCAGGGTCATATAACCCATAAGTGGATTTGAGCTTAGGTCTTCCTGACTCCAAGTCCATGGCTCTATCCACTTCACCACCTAGCTGCCTACTATGTGTTTGGCACACAGTGAGTGCTTTGTAAAGGTGTTTTTTTTTTTCCTTTTCTATTCCATTCCATGAAATAAAGGCTGGTCTCTATATCTGCAAGTCACTTGTACACCAACAGATGTTGGTGTAACCCTCAGAAATAGCATGGCACAGTGGAAAGAGCCCTGGTGCTGGGGCAAGTCACCTAAAATCTCTGGGTCTCAGTTTCCTCATTTGTAGAATGACAGGATTAGACTAAATGGATTTCAAAATCCCTTCCAACTCCAGACCTTTAATCTATGATATCTGCATCTCAGTATCCCTAGCTTCTCCCCCCCCCAAAAAAAATCCCCATGTTATCAGCTTCCATGTACTTCAGCTCTTCCACACCTTGGAAAAGATTGGTTCAGGGAACCACGTCAGGCATGGCAGCACCTTCCATTATTCTACCTCACCAGCTCACCAGCTCCTGAATTAGGGAGGCAGAAAAGTATCTCTGGTAGAATTTTTGATTTAGGTTTAAGGGACCCTAGTTTTGAATGCCCCTTCCATTTCATCATCTACAAAATAGAGGCTTAAATCCCACCCCACTAAAAATACAAAGTTAGTCAAAAAACATTCATTAATCACTTCTTAGGTGTATGCCAAGCACTGTGCTATGCACTGGGGATAAAATAAAAGGCAAAAACAGTTCTGCCAGCAGGTAACTGACATTCAAATGAAGAAGATGACATGTGTATAGCTAGGTACAAGATATAGTCAGAAAATATGGAGAAATCCCAGAGGGAAGCCAGCAGCAGTCAGATGAGGAAAGGGCTCCTACAGAAGAGACATCCAGAAGGATTTGTGCTAAGAGGCAGGAAACCAGAGAAAGGGCAGGAGAGCCTGATTATAGAAGGTATGGAAGAGAGGAAAGTGAAAGGCAGAAAAAGGACTTTATATTTGATCCTGGAGCTAATGGGGAGCCAGTGGAGTGGACTGAATGAGGAGGAGGAGGGTGGGGCTGTGATTATGGGCACACTTAAGGCTTTAAGGAAATCAGATTACAGGAGGAAAGACTGGAGACTAGGACACCAGTTAGAAGACTATTAACAACAGTGCAGGACAGGGATGATGAGGGCTTGAATTAGGGGGTGGTTGGGTGAGTAGTGAAAAGGGGGTAGATGGAAGGAATGTTTTGAGGGAAGAAACAACAAGATTTGGCAACAAACCTGATAACAAACCGTGGGTGAGTGAGGAATCCAGGGTGATACCAAGGTTTCAAGTCTGGGTGAATGGGAAGATGGCAGAGTATGGCAGAACAGATGGTCTCCTCCACTGTTGTCAAAACCATTTGGTGTCCTTGGATAGGAGGCTTTCTCCAGAAAGATTACCTCACCTCTGCTGTGTTAAATCAAATGGACCGCTTAATTGTAAAAATATTTAGTCATCCCCCTCTTTCCTGCCCTTCAGCAGGGAGTGTTTGTTTCCCCACTCAAATGACAAATGCCTCCAGCTGAAAGGCAAATGTTCCCCTAGAAGCTGCCCCCACCCCCATTTGGTCCTTCCTTTCCTGTACTCCTCCTTCAAAAGGCTAACACTGACTTAAGAAAGCTGATTGTTAAATTTTCACTGATACCTCAAAAATCAGCAACTTCTACAAAGCAAGGCTCAATTTATTTTGCTGATTGTCAAGACTTAAGAAAGTGAAGGGACAGCTAGGTGGTGAAATGGATAGAGCACTGGGCTTAGAATCAGGAAAACTCAACTTCATTAGTTCAAATCCAGCCTTAGACACTTACTAGCTGTGTGACCTTAGACAAGTCACTTAACCCTGTTTGCCTTAGTTTCTCGCGTGTCAAAAGGACTGGAGAAGGAAATGGCAAACCACTTCAGTATCTTTGCCAAGAAAACCCCAAAATAGGGTCACAGAGTTGGATGGGACAGAAATGACTCAACAACAACAACAAAAAGAAAGTGGGAGAGAAAATATTAATAATGTGAACAAAACCTAAAAGAGTGATCTGTGTACTTTTATTTTTGAGAGTGTCCATTTTTTTTTTTGTTTTGTTTTGTTTTGTTCTTTGTTTTGGGTTTTTTTTGTTTGTTTGTTTTTTCAGAGAGACTGTTGTTAAACATTTACCAGCACACTACTGGCTATTCCCCATCTGACCTAAACTGTTACAGAATGCTGCTTGTTGACTATGTAATCTTTGCAGAGGGAGCTGAACATGGAGACAAGTTCTACTTAAAGACAGACTAGTCCTTTGTCCATAAAGTCATTTTCCATTATGTGGCTCCCTAAGCTAGTTTAGGACACACTTTCTAATTTCATTCCAAGAATAAAATGAGATGATATTTGAAAAGTACTTTGCAAACCTTAAAGCACTGTATAAATGCTACCTAAGTATTATTTCCAATTAATCTCTGAAGTTATTTGTCCTCTACTGTGCAGATGCGCCACTGGGCAAGATTTTCTCAAACCAGATTTTGTCAACCCAGGCTGAGAAATTCCTCAACAGTAATAGGAAAGCTTAGAAAAGGGAAGAGTTTGAGTTTGAAATGCCAACAATTCAAAATATATAGAAGGCAGTGGGTGATGCAAGAACAGAGCTCAGGAAAGAGACAAGGGTTGGATCTGGGAATTATCTGTGGTGATGATCATTGAACTCATGGAAGCCAATGACTATGGATCTCACAGGATTATCGTGAGGAAAGAATACTACAAACCTTAACGAAATTTCTACATGTTTCCTTATGATTAGGATTATGATTACTTCTGCCCCCGTGAAGTGATACAAGCATTGTTATCCCCATTTTACAGATGAGAAAACTGAGACTCAGAGAGAAATGACTTGCTCAGGGTCACTCAACTAGTAAGCATTAGATTGAGGATTTGAACCTAACTCTCCTAATCCTAGGTCCAAGACTTTATTTCAATTATACCACACTACAGTGTGGGGAAAAGAATGAGAGAAGGAAAAAGAACTTATGGGATGATGACTTTCCTTTGAACCAGGTGGTTTCGAAAGGTGGAGGCATCAAGGTCCTACTTCTGCCTGAAAGGGTCATGGATGACTAATGCTTGAGCTCTGGAGTAGACCGGGCTTTTATAAGCCACTTCCTTCCACCTCTCCCTCTCTCCCAGCTCTTCAACTTCTCCACTGTCTCTATTAGCCATCAAAGAAATAATAGGGCCTCACCCACCAAGTTCCTTCATTCTGCACAAATTGTAATGTACTGAACACTTGAGCAAAATGTCAAGTTCACATGTATTTATGTGGGGATGAGAGAGAAAGTAAGTCGAGAAAAAAACAAAGCCAGAGAGTTGCTTTTTTTTTTTAATCAAGTGGTTTATTATTTTTTTCAGGAATAGAAATGTAAGGTACTGAAATGATCATCAAATTACCTAATAGAAAATGTTCCATAATGGCAAGGAAAAATCCAAAAATATCTGACCTTTCTGAGTCTCCCATACCAAGCATCAAGGTTTCCAAGCCTACCGTTCGGGGGCTTCACAATATCAAGCCATTTCAGAAAATTCAGGCACAAAGAGTTGCTTAACAGCACCAAGCATTAAGGAAGGGTCTGGACAAATGAGTGAGGTTAGGGCTTGTGGTTGGCACAGCAGGGTGGAGCTCGAAACTCTATGGAATAACAATTTTTAAAACACGCCAAATTATTTTAAGTCTAAGTGAGTACAGACTAATCCACAAGACAAACACCTCTAAGACAGATTAGACTAAGAATTGTCTTGGTAGGGAAAATGGACAGCATAGTAAAAGCTTTATTATCTAGCATATTGGAGGAGGAGGTTTTCATAAAAACTTTCATTAACTATGCGTTTTAGGGGGCCCTTCCACCTCTGCTTTTGCCTTCCATTCTTTTCCTTGCTTTCCCTCCCAACACCTATAAGTGAGAGAAAGAACAGTTATCCATCCAATGCCAAAGCAGGAATGATGGATGCGAGCTTCTGGCAAATGCAGTAACCTCATCATAGCTGGACCATTCTAGTCCCATTGGGTGGTCTTGCTGGATAGACATATACATCAATCAATTAACAAGCATTTATTAAGTGACTACTTATAAGCCAGGCACTGGAGTTATAAAGACAAAAATAAAACAGTCCCTGCCCTCAAGGAGCTTACATTCCATCAGTGGGGTGACAAATGCACATACAAATACATACAAAATATATACTGAGGGAATCCAAGAAATAGCAGTTTCTGGAGCTTTCCAATTGGTAAAGAGCTAGATGACATGTCTTTTACAGAATTCTCAAGCCATCTCATGTCACTAGAACATCATCGGGGTAAGGTTGAGCATCCTTGCCAGTATGGTATTAATTTCCCCATCACATGCTATGCAATCACTTTTTAAAAAATCTAAATCCTAAGTATAGATAATGTTGCATCAGTGAAGATGGAGGGGAAAGGGGAATGGCCATGGCTTGGGGCCTGGCAGAATGTACTTGGAGATTGGGTCTCTGAAGATAACAGAAAGGAGAGATCACGTACATCCCCCATACAGTCACTCAGATGTTAATTCAAGTTCAGCCAATGAGTAATCTACCCACCCCCCATCCAAAACTCTTTGCAGTTTTAACTAATCTCTTCTCATTCTGGCTTCTGCTCAGTTGGATCTTGTGTTGATTATTCTCTTCCCTGCCAACATCCTTTTCTTTCTCCCTGGCACATGCCTCCCACTGAAACCATGAGGGCGGATCTTCAACTCCACATAAGGGATGGAGAATTCATGTCCTTTCCATGGCTCCCAGTTCACCCCCTAGAGGAAAAAAAAAAGCCAGGAAGACACAGGGGACTTAGGAGACAAGAAGGGACAATGGATAAAGACCCTTCTTTGCCTGCTAAACCACTTCCTGTTTGTCATAGCATGGTAGAAGAAAACAAAGAAAGTGTGGTACAGTGGAGACTAGTACTGGAGACTAGTCTCTGGCAGGAGACCAGAATTCTAATCCTAGCTCTGCCCACAGCTCAGGCAAGTTCACAGCACGTGTCTGGACCTCAGGTGTCCTTTGTCTAAAATAAGAGCACCAACTTAGCTGCTTAAAGGAAGAGGGTTGGCCAGATGACCTCCAGAGGTCTATTCCACCTCGATCATTGAGGCAACAAGGAGGCACAGTGGATTATCTGCAGAACTTGGAGTTAAGAAGACCTGAGGTCCTACTCTGTCTCAGATACTTACTACCTGGGCAAATATCTCTGGGCCTCAATTTCCTCATTTGTAAAATGAGGGGGTTGGATTCAATAGCCTCTAAGGTACCTTCCAGCAATTATATGATCTAAGCCGTAATTAGAAGGTGTCTAATGTGGAAGATGAGGCCTTTGCCTTCAAAATGTCTACCTTCTTTGAGAACTCTTAGCCTAATCAGAAAGATTCTTGGAAATGGAGCTGCCTTCTCACTTCTGGTAGAAGCCTCAGTGGATCTCAGTATGAGCAGAGTGGTAAAGCAAAGTGAGGGGAGATCTGCAGAATCTTCTGCCATCAGTTCTAAATCTTATGGAGAGAGAATATGTGATTCCAGTAGAGAAAATAAGCATTTAAACAGGGGTGATACAGTTGAAAAGGACCTTAGGGACACCTTGTTCAATTGCTTCATTTTATAGACAAGGAAACTGAAACCTCAGAGAAGTTAGTGACTTGTCCAAGGTCCCACAGATTGAAAATGGCGCCCAGGGCTCCATCTCCATATCCAGCACTCTTTCCAGTTCACCATGCTGCTTCCATGGCAGATGGGTCAACTTTGACACAGAGGAACAATTCTGTTTGACTGATATCGGATTTAAGCTTCCCTTTCCCTCCCTTAGGACACATACACACACACACACACACACACACACACACACACACACTCACCCTCACAAAGGGGAGAGGCATTAATTATTGAAACACTCTTATTGGCAAGTTGTATAAAATCAGTTTCATTTCAGATTGGTGCTTTTCTCCTCTGGAGAAACAAATAGCTCACTAAAAACTAAATTCTGTTTTCTGTCATTTGACTGGTGAGTTCAATAATATTCAATTCGCTTAATAACCTTGTGACCTGGCCAAGGGATGACCCAAGTGACCATTTTTATGTATTTTAATTTGTGAGGTAAATAATAAATAAGAGTTAAATGCTGTGCAGCCTGTGAGGCAAACCCATTAACCAGATGAATGGCTTTCATTAGTAAATCTAGTGAGGACTTAAGGCGTGCTAGTGGCTTATTCTAAATACCTGCTCAGAGGCTTAGACTTCACTATTCTATCTTCATCACTCAGGGCCCTGGCCCTTTCATTGCTAAGTGCCTAACCTCCCAATCCGTGGACTGGGAGGAACCCTGATCAGGCCAGTGCTAGATAAAGCAAAGTGGAATGGAGAATCTGACCTTCAAATAGTTTGCAAAGTGTTTCATTCCCATTCTATCTTTGCTCCTCCTTTTTACTCATTCTCCATTATAGCTAAGCTGGCCTGCATGCCATTCCCCTAGCTCGGCACTCATTCTGCCTCTGTGTCATTGCCTAGAATGGATTCCCTTCCCCACCATTTCTCCATGCCTTTAGAATCCTTAGCTTCCTTGAAAGCTTCAAATGTCAGGAGCCAACTTCTACAGGAAGCCTTTCTTGATTTAATATTTTCACTTTCCTTTAATTATATTGCATTTAGGTACTTAAAAGTTGTGTCCTTGAAGGTAAGAGTTGCTTTACAATTTTATCTTCGTGCTTAGGTGCTCAATAAATGCTTACTGCATTAATCTTCACAAACCCAGAGAGGCAGCTATTATTTTCCTTGTGTGGAACTGAGGCAAAGAGCTGTTATGTGACTTGGGCAAGGTCACCTAGTTAATAAGTAAGGTAGTATTCAAATCCTTATCTGACTCCAAAGCCAGCGCTCAAGATAACAACGGCTAATGATGATGTTTCCGGAAAAGAGACCTAGGAAAAAGGATTGGAAACAGCCAGTGCCAACATACAGAGCTAGACTCAGGACATACTAGGTATGAAGATGGGTGCTATTCAGAGGCATGAATGGAACAACCAGTGAAAAAAACTTGAGAGCACAGGAGGGCAGAGGACTCTCTCTCTGACACTAGCCTGGGTTGGGTGCACATGAAAACAAGAAACTGGTTCAGAGAAATTCCATGGGTAAAATCCAGGGGAGTCTCTGAGTCAGAGGCCAGGTGATTTGGAAGAAAGCAATTTCATGGTCTCAAACAGAAAGGACCTTGTTTTCTGAGGCCTCCAAGAACCTGAGACAAATAGTTGTAGCCTTGGACAAGGTATCCAAGTGAGGGTAAGCCAGGAAGGGGAATGAGACACCACTATGAAAGCTTGATTCATATTTAAATCTCTGTGAGGGTGAATGCAGTATACATTGTCACATTGTATGTCTTCCCAAATTTGTACATAATTTGTCTCCTAAGCTCACTCTTGAATTTTAGCAGAAAAAAAAAAATATGTGCACTTTAAATGCCTGACTCAACTGTTTAGGCTGATGGGATCATGCAGGAAAGCAAGGAACATATCCCAGGAAGAATATGGGGAAGGGTCCAGGTCCCAAAGGCACAGTCTTTGCAGAGACTGTCATAGTGAGGCTGGCAAGAAGTTGGCCAAGCAGTAGCAAAAACTAGTCCAGAGGATTTCTGCTTAGGAATAGCCTCTCAATCAATTCTTTTCAACAATCCCATGAGCCTACTATGTGCCAAGCATGACAGTAGATAGGTTCCAGGATTCAAGGACCAAAAGGAAACAATCACTCTCTTCCAGGAGTGTATACTCTAAGCAGGGGGTAGGGGAAGAGAAAAGAGGTAGAATACAAAATATGCACAGATAAATACATGCAAAAAAGTAAAACATGAAATAAATACAAAGTAATTTGGAAGCAAAGGGATCACCAACTACTGAGGAATCAGGGAAGAGTTTTCGAAGAAAGTGACCCTTGAGCTGAGCCTTGCAAAGAGCTAAGATTGGTAGAAAGCACAGATGAGGAAGAACATTCCAGTTTCAGGAAACAGCGTGAAAAAAGGCACAGAAATAGGACATGAAACGTTCTGCACAAAGAACAACAAGTAAGCCAATTTGGCTAGAATGCTAAGTGCATAGGGAGATTCATTTGTAACTGGAAACACCATTGGAAGGAAGACTGTGAAGGGCTTTAAATACCAAATGGAAGATGTTGTAGCATATCCTAGAGTCACTAGGGATCCCCTTCATTAGCCACAGAATGACCTAACCAGACCTGTGTATCATTCTCTGGAAGTAAGGAGGAGGTCTCTCTGAAAGAATATGTCTGAAGCTTACCTCACTGTGCTTGGTTTCTCCGTATCGGCCATTGGGGTTTGCCAGGTGGCAGTTCTTATACCACCAGCCGCCATGATGTGTCAGGGCACAGTTGCTGAGAGCAATATCATTGTCTCTGTCAAAGGTGGTGAATTTCCATCCGTTGTGGTAAGAGAGAGCATCACCTATGGGGAAGAGATGAAAGCAGAAAGTCTAAGAAAGGTACCTAAAGGGCTGACATACTTTGGTCCAACAAAGAGAAAAGCATTAGAACATCATAGGATTACAGATTTATAGCAGAAATGAACCTGAAAAGCTACCTAGTATAAGTCCCTTACTTCACAGATGAGGAAACTGAGCCCCAGGGAAGAGGTTAAGTGACTTGCCTAAGGCCACACAGACATCTTTAAGTACCATGTTCTACAAATGACAAGTGTCTTTTTGGTTAGTTTTTGGCCAGACAGCTCTTTGCTACAGATCTTACCAGATATCCTGCAGAAGGAGGAATAGCATTATTTTAAATGTATACCTATAGCTTTTTTTTTTTTGCATTCACAGTCAAATTCCATACTTCTACTGGACATTTCTACTTGAGTGATTCTCCATCACCTCAAACTCAACATATTCCAAAAACAAGTTAACCCAATTTCACTCCAAATAAGGATCTCCACTGAATGCCCCTTCTGACAATGCCACTACCATAAGGTCATTGGATCATAAATTTTGAGTTGGAAGGAGCCTAAGAGGTCATCTGTTTATCATCTATTACCTTGCTCATTTGTTGTTTTGTTATTTAGTCGTTTTCAGTTGTTTTCATTCATGTCTGACCTTTCATGACACTATTTGTAGTTTTCTTGGCAAAAACATTGGAATGATTTGCCATTTCCTTCCCCAGCTCATTTTACAGATGAGGAAACTGAGGCAAACAGGGTTAAGTGACTTGCCCTGGGTCACAGGGCTAGTAAGTGTCTGAGGCCAGATTTGAACTCAGGGAGATGAGTCTTCCTTATTCCAGGCCCAGCATTCTGTCCACTATGCCATCTAGTTGCCCCTACCTTGCACACAGTAGGTATTTAATAAATGTTTGTTGTGTGGAATGGAATTGAATAGTATTCTGGCTCTAAACTATAAAAAAATGCTTGCCTCATCTTTCATATATTCAATATCTCATATCTTCTCACACTCATAACTTTGGCTCCATTCTACTCTATATCTACTATCATTACCCTAATCTAGACCTTCATTACTGCTCCTATATTATTATAATAGCTTCTTGGATAATCTCCCAGACTAAAACATTCCTACCTCACCTACACCATACCCACATCAATCCATCCTAGATCCATGTGCCCAACTATCTACCTTAAAAACTTATTTTCATCATGTTACTCCTAGACTCATAGCTATGTCACACAGGGTCTAGAAAATGGGAATAAGAGTCAGGAAGACCTGAGTTCAAATCTGTCCTCAGACAGAGGCCTTAAGAGTTCCCAGATTCTATTTATCTTCCCTCTTCTGAAAATCTGACTAATGTTAGCTCTTTTCCAGGCCTGCAGCACCTTTCCCATTCCCTAGAACCTTTCCAAGATCATTTACAATGCCATTTTCTCCAATCCCTGCCTCAGTCAGGGCTTGGTGACTTGAGCTCATTGAGGGCAGCTGGGGACTGCTCTCTCACCATCTTCACACCATCTTGGATTTCGACTCTCTATAATCCGTCTTCAATGTGTCATCCCATCCAAAAATCATTCTCATGGGCATAGAAAAGACAAAAAAAATAAGGCCTGAGCAGGCTTTTTGTCCATTATCATCTTCCCATCTTCCTCTTTTCCCTAATGCGGCTAAAAACTCTTTTTGTTGTCCACAGCACTCCTCATCAGCCTTATCTCATCAGGAAAATTAGGACTCCTGACATTTTTCTTACAGGATCATGACACAGTTTTATATTAATCCTCTATAACTTTCTTTCATCTTCTGTGCATGTCTTTAAAAATCTAGGTTGGTTCGTGAGTGCCTTTGTCCGACCTCGTTAGTCTCTTTTAGACATCATCTGAATTTCCTTTTCCTTTTCCTCATCATCTGAATCATCAAAGAGAAGTTCTTTGTGGCTTCAGAATTTCATTCTTAAGAGCTTCTCCTCTCCCTGTGTTGACTTTTATGGTAGAATTTAAGTCAATGGGATTGGAACCCTTCACATTCTGTCCTTGAAGTATTTAGAATGTATGTCAGAGAATGTCTGCCTCTATCAAATTCTAGCCTACTCCGTCACACAAATAACATACCATTTTCCTCTCCAAGCCTTTGCTCCTGTTTTTCTCCTCTCTTCACCTTTCCAATCCCAAACATCCAGCAAAGATCAGCTTGAGCCTCCCTTCTCTCCATGAAGCCTCCTCGATTAGTCCAGCTCTTACTAAATGTTCTCTGACCCCTCCTCCAAGCTCCTACGTCAGACTGGTACCTAATATGTGTACTAGTACCTACTATGTGTACTATGGTACACAGCTCAATCTTTGATGATGTTCTGTCAGGTAACTGATTACTTTTTTTTATTAGTCTCATTTGACTGTTACCTTTATCACCCCTTAAAACTTTATACCCTCTCTTTGAGATCCCTATGATTATTTATCTTTATACTTAGTTGGGTTGGTGACCTCACAGAATGGGTACTCCCTTTATTCATGCAACCAATCAATGAACAAGCATGTCAAGAGCCTGCTATGTGATGCGCAATGGGATATAAGGAGAAAGAAAGAAGGAAGGAAGGAAGGAAAGAAAGAAAGAAAGAAAGAAGGCAGGCAAGAAAGAACAAAAGAAAAAAGAAAGAAGGAAGGAAGGAAAGAAGAAAGAAAGAAAGGAAGGAAAGGAAAGGAAAAAAGGAAGGAAAATGAAGGAAGGAAAGAAAAAGAGAAAAAGAAAGACAAAGGGAGAAAGACAGGAAGGAAAAAAGGAGAGAGAAAGAGGCCTTTACTGATCCCCCAGTTGCCAATGCCTTCCACCCAAAATTATCTTGTATTTGCATTGTATATATTTTGTACAGACTTATATGTATACATGTCATTCCCTTGAAAGAATGAAAACTCCTTGTCTTTGCAGTCCCATGGCTTGGCATGGTACCTGGCATAACATAGGTGCTGAATAAATATTGACTTATTGATTGATTGATGCCATGCCTGGAACTTAATAAATGTTCATTGATGGATGGATGATGATGTAAGCCTACGCACCCTCCCCAAATCCGTGGCAGGCAGTCACCAAATTGTCAGAGTCGAGAGCAAGCCTGGCGTCCTTACCTGCAGTGCCTCTGTATTTCCCCACTGTCAGCTTGTATCTGTCCTTGCTAGAGGCCACTTGGAAAAAATCATAGACCGCATAGGCAGACTCATTTGCTGTCTGTAAGTCTATCCGCACTTCATATGGAACTGGTGTTCCAGTGGTAAGATTGTGTAGCTTCTCAAGCCCTGAAATAAGGAATAAGAGTTCAATTAATCCACCATTCAAGAAATTTGTATTGCACCCTCACTGCCAAGACACCTTGCGGTATCTGAGGCTCATAATATAAAACCAGTCTGCTTTGCTTTTCACCCTAAAATATATTTCCCCATATGATGAGAAAAGGGTAGAAAGGGGAGGGGAAGCAAGAAAGGATTTCAGGGGTTCAGGCCACCATTGATTTGTGACCTCCTTGGGCAATCTACCTTCCAGCTGTCTAATCTTTAAAATGAAAGATTTGTCATCCATTTAACTCCCCAAGTAGCACATGCATTAACTAATAAAGCATTAGAAGGATATCTGCAGCTAAAGGGACAGCAAATACTATCAATTTTTTGTTTAATCAGGGGCTAAGGATCCAGTCTGTAGATCTTTGAATTCTCCAACCAAGGGCTTCTCACTTTCTGGGCCCTTTCATTACTCATTAGCACCTTCACCACAGCTGAGGCAGGAAAAAGGCAAGGAGATAAAATCCTTCTCATTACTGACATCAGTGATGGGGCCTCAGGGAACACTAAAATTGCTAGAGGGACATTGAATCCATTGTTCTCCCAACTCTTTCTGTCTCTTTCCACATAACCGGCATTTAACTTTTCTTGGACTCCAGCCAAATGATAAAGACTGAAACATGGGAAGAAATGCTGCTCTCTTAGTACCTATCCCCAGCTTTCTTCCAAGCCCACAGTATCAGAAAATCTGACCAGAGGCCTCACCATATGGCCACTCTGATTCATAGATGCTATAGGCCCAATATTGTCTGGACCTGCCTCTGAACTCTGAGTGCTTCAAGCTGCCTAGCCTTTCCAGGTAAGGATCATCCATTCATCCATTCCCTAAAAATTGTTAGAGCTCATACCAAACCAGAACTCCCTCATGGGATCGCCAAAACCTTCCACATAGTGCTTCCAACGCTTGAAGAAGTCCAGCTGCCCTGTGTTCCGTCTCTGAAACACCTGTCATGGGAGAAAAAAGTGCATGACATTTTCCCCCTTAAATATATAGATTTAGTTCTATAGATGTTGTTTGTGTTCCAGTTGTATCTGACTCTCCATGACCCCTTCCTTCCTTTGGGGTTTTCTTAGCAAAGATACTGGAGTGGTTTGCCATTTACTTCTCCAACTCACTTTACAGATGAGGAACCAAGGCAAACAGGGTGAAGTGAAGTGACTTGTCCAGGGCCACATAGCTAACAAGTTTCTGAGGCTGGATTTGAACTCATAAAGATGAGTCTTCCTGACTCCAGGCCCAGTGTTCTATCTTCTGTGCCACTTAGCTGCACACATATATAGGCATGCATACACACATACACATATACAATACACATGTATGTATGCATACTATGTGTATATATGTGCGTGTATGTATGCATATATGTCTTTGTGTGTGTGTGCATGCATGTGTGTATAAAAACTGAGTATGGAAAAGGAATAGCATCCACATTTCCTGAGGTACTATTGAGGGGGAAAAGAGTAAAGATTGTTATCTACCAACTTGTTGGTATTCTCTCCTGTTTCTCATATCATTATTATTTATGGTAGCTATTTTTAAAGTACCCATTGTGTGCCAAACATCTCTATCCTTAACAATTTCATGTTATCAGGATGTCAGAGAAAAGAAGATGAGGAGGAGTTCGGGCTGTGGGCCAGGAAAAAACATTCTTGATTTCTTCCTCTGAACTCCTGGGCCTTTGAACATCTGTACAACCCACCGAGGCACTTAATCATGTGTCAACTGTATTATTATCTAGTTGTTACATACTGGTTTCTCTTTCGGGGGTACAGTTAGATCAAAGGTCATTGATTCTTTTGAGTGTCACAGATCCCTTTGTCAGTCTAGTGAAGCCAGACTGGATCCCAACCCAAAATCATGTTGTTAAGTGCATAAAGTAAAATACATAGGATTACAAAGAAAAACAACTATATTGCAAGAGTTATCAAAATATCTTTTTTTAAAAACAGATTCATAGACCCCAGAATCTGTTAAGAGCTTTTGAATCAAATTGATGCCAGAGACTTTGTGGGGTTTTTCACGTCCTCTTTATTGCCTAGTATATTCAGAAAATAAATAACTGACATTTATGGAACATTTTCCCTGTGGGGCCAGCAGTATACCATTAGCCCTGTTTTGGAGATGATATAACTGAGACACACAGATAGGAAGTGATGTGCTCCATGACCATGGAACTCAGCAGTGGCAATTCTGCTAGGATTCAAACTAAAGTTTTCTGACTTCAATTCCAATGCGCTGCACCACACAGTCTTTTCAATAAATATTTGTTGAATTAAATTACACTAATGAACACATTGAGAGCTGTTTTCTATTTCCTTTTCAGAGCAAGTATTCCTTCCTTGGGCAGCTCGGTGAAGCAGTGGATAGAGCACTAGACCTGGAGTCGGGAAAACCTGAGTTCAAATTTAACCTCAGACACTAACTGTGTGATCCCGGGCAAGTCACTTAATGTTTGCCTCAGTTTCCTCATCAATAAAAAGAGCTGGCGTAGGAAATGGCAAGTCACTCTAGTATCCTTGCCAAAAAAAAAAAAATCAATAAAGAGCTGGGCAAGACTGAACAAAAATTCCTTCCTTCTTCCCTCCTTCCCTCCCTCCCTTCCTTCCTATTTCTTACTTTCTCCCTTCCTTCCTTTCTCCTTTTCTTCCTTTCTTTTCTCTTCTTTCCTTCCTTTCTCTTTTCCTTCCTTTCTTCCTTCCTTCCTTTTTTCTTTCTTCCTTCTTTCCTTCCTTTCTTCCTTCCTTCCTTTTTCTTTCTTTCTTT